GTTCCCCCTTGCTCCGCCTCTTCCCATTGCCGAACTCACCAGTCGTTGGGAGGCGCTCCGAGGAATCCTCGTTCGGAGTCCCCCATCCTGGGCTTGGGCCCACATCAAAACCCTGGCGGGGGCGTGGACCACGGCGGCTCGCATCCCGTGTGAGCCACCCCGTCAGTGCCTCCTCGGCTGCGCCGATGCCGCCGACGACTTCGCCCATTACATCTCGTGCCCCCGCCTCCTTCACCTCCTTGCTCTTCCCCGAGGCTTCCTTCCTTCCTGTCCCCTCACTCGCCTCGGGCTCGGGCCCTCGCCCGATGCTGAAGCCGAATACCCACGCGTTCGCTGCCATCGCGTGGTCGTCCTCAGCTTCCATATCTATCATAAGCTGAAGGCTGACCTGGCCTCCCACCCAAGGAGGTCGGCGACGCCTTCTTACCACTACGATGTACGAGCTGCCGCTCTCGCCGCAATGCGTCGATAGAGCTCGCAGCAGTAGCTGAGTCACCATCACTCAAGCTACGTGCGCTCCTTCTCGGCCCCTCCTCCTCCTCCTCCTCCTCCTCCTCCTCCTCCTCCTTCTCATCATCATCATCAGCAGCAGAATCAGCATCAGCATCTTCGTCATCAGACTCAGTATCTTCGTCATCCGCATCATCATCGTCATCATCAGCATCAGTTTCAACAGCATCATCATCAGCATCAGCATCGTCGTCATCGTCAGCATCGTCATCATCGCCATCATCATCAGCAGCAGCATCATCAGCATCATCATCATGATCATCCTCATACTCACACTCATCTTCATCCTCACCACCATCATCAGCAGCATCAGCAGTATCATCATCATCAGCATCATTATTATCATCGTCATCATCATCATCATCGTCATCACAATCGCCATCAACATCATACTTAACGTCATCATCATCATCATCATCATCATCATCATCCTCAGCATCAGCATCAGCATCAGCATCAGCATCAGCATCATCAATCATCTCCCATCCCCCCACCCCTCCACCCTACTACCCTACCTTCCTCCACACTCTTCTCTTCGCGGCCGGTTGGTCCAACGCAGCGAGGGCAGTAGCGGCATGCTCTAAGCTGATAACCACCAGATGTGCACCGATGAGTTGCCATCCGACAAGCGGTTGACGGACGCGTGAAAAGAAGCCGAAGCAGTGCACGTGCGGACCTTGAGATCCGACGTTGCGGAAAAAAATGCAACATCGTCAAAAACCACGTCTCAGTCAGAATACGCGCCTGCTTCAGATGTTCCACGGCAGTCGCTTTTTCATTCTACCAGGTTCGAGCGAGACTTCGTCGACTTCGCTGCTTCGAAGTAGGTGCATGTTTAGAGGGGCATGTAAAAATGCACGTCTTCCCAATGCCGCCTCCACTTGGGGAGCGCGTGCGGCCTTCGTGCATGACCGGACATGCCTTGCCTGAAGAATTGCGTCAGCTTCAGAGCCGCAAATATGCGAGGGTCCCGGGGCCAAAAGTCGGGGACGAGGCCCGGGGCGACAGCCCGCGGGACGAGCAGAGAGAGAGAGAGAGACGCAAAGGGGCGACGCGCAGCGGCGGGGGAAGGGGAGGACCACCCACGGGGCGGCGCACCGAGACGAGCAAGGCCTGGGAGGCCACCTGGGCCATGGCCGAGGATGCCGCTCCGCGGGGGGGGAGGACAGACCAATGCACAGTGAGGACGGGACGCCCGAAGATGATCCAGGTCATGTCGCAAAATGCATTTTGTCTTGCGATTGTCGTGATGACCGGGATGGTTGGGACAGACCAGTGCGGTAGGTCTGCGTCGCGTCGACCGGCTGCGAGACCCCGCCGCTGGCGTTCCACGTTGAACTCCGCTGGCGGCCCAGGCTCGGTCGATGTTGAACGACCTGACGTGTCGGAAACGGCTGATCGTTCAAGGTTGAACGAGCCCCGCGGCGTCAGGAACCAACGCTGGGGTCGACACGACACTAACCTGCGGTACACAGTGAGGGCGGGACGCCCAATGATGATCCAGGCCATGTCGCAAATGCATTTTGTTTTGCGATTGTCGTGATGACCGGGACGGTTCGGAAGGTTGCCTTTTCCTCGGGTCGGCCGTCGGTCGAGTGGGCACGGGCAGAGCACAGGCCTTCCCAGGGAGGCCGACCGAGCAGCAGTAGCACCGCCGGCGATTTCACGAGGCGTCGGGGGAGCGTGCGCTCCTCGGAGCAGGAGAACACGGATTGGACTTGGCCTATTGGCGACCGGCAGCGGCCCTGGAGGCTGAGCCAGCTGCCACGCAGATTGGACCGGCGTGTGCCGCACGGCGGGGGGTCCCTGGCGGCCCGAGGAAGAGCAGGCCGAAGTAGTCTTAAAAGTCGAGGGTCGCCCCTCGAATCGGGGGTGCCTTCGCATGTGCAGGTTGAGGTCAGGTCAGGCGTTCGATCGCCAACAGCTGAGAAAAGCCAGGCCAGACAGTGCAGAAGACGCAAGGAGCCGGCGTTGCCAGCAGCACCAGGAACAGAGCGAGCAGCCGCTGGGAGTGTGGGTCCCATGCGCAGCCCCCACCGCGCAGGCGAGGTGGTGGTACCTGGATGTGCCCGGAGCACTCAGGGAGGAGCGCGCGCGGGTGAGGGAAAAATCCGCCGACCTTTTCGGCGAGTGCGAGACGCTGTCATCGTCGTCATCGTCGTCTGTCGTCTGTCATCAGAGGTGTGTCATCGTCGTTGTTGTCTTTGTCTTCGTCGTCGTTGCCGCGAGACCCAAGAGGAAAAAGAACGAACAATGAAAAAAAGCATCGTAGTTAAGTCGATTCCTTCCCCCTTTTCCCCCTCCCTGACTGGGGGAGGGTAGGGGGAGGCACGGAAGGGGTGTAAGGGGGGGTACGGGGGGGTCCCGATTCAAATCACCACACACCCTGGATTCCTGGCGAGCCCTGGGGCGCCACTCCCTCTGGGGACCGCGCCATCGGGGGTGCCGGGTTAGGTCCCGCCTGTGGTGGAGAAGGCCCCGGGTCAGAACGTTGCTTCCCGCCCCGGGGTCTTGGCGGGTCCCGAGGGGGGGCGCCAGCGGGACTCACAAGGGAGGTCCTGCGTCCAGGGTCGGCGGCACCGGCCGCAAGGCTTTCACAAGGAAGGGGAGGGGGAGGAGGAGGAGGACCAGTGCAAAACCAAGATTCATTGACGATGTTGGAATAAATCCTCCCTCCAAGCTCCCTCCTCGTAGCCTCGTTGGGGGACAACCGTTTGAGAATCCTGAAGCGCGCCAGAACATCACTGCCCACCCTCAGTCCGCGAAACTCGTGCCAATGCTCGAGACGAGTGCGCGCGGCGCCTACGCGAAAGCCTTATTTGGGGGGAACCAGAAAAAACGCCTTCCATCTGCGAAACGATTTCTTAAAAGTTCCAGGATCAGGCATGGTAGGGATGTCTCAGACGAAACGCCCAGCCCGCCCTTCCGACTAGACTCGGTGTGCGACAGGAAAGTTATGTATAAGGAAACGAACGGGGGAAGAGGAGGAAGAGGAGGAGAAGGACGAGGAGCGAACGGGAGGAGTTGAGAGGTGGAGAAGGAGACGGAGAAGGAGGTGGAGGAGGAGAAGGAGGAGGGACGACGACGTCGACGAAAGCAGCAGCGATGACGGTGATTGCGACGACGACGACGACGTGACGACGACACTGTCCTCCTCCTCCTTCTCCTCCTCCTCCTCCTCCTTCTCCTGTTCCTCCTCCTTCTCTCCTCCTCCACCTCCTCCTTCTCCTCCTCCTCCTCCTTCTCCTTCTCCTTCTTCTCATCATCCTCATCCTCATTGTCATCCGATCCGTCTTTCTTTTTTATGAACGCTTCATCCCTGTGAACGCTTCATCCCTGCCGCACCACCAGACGTGTCGCTGGGGCTGTCCAGTCGGTCCGCCCGATATTTCCCTACCGTCTACGACCCTGAACTTTTGAGGGTTCTATCAGTTGCACGGCTGGAGATCGGGCCGTTTTCAAGATGGGGTGTTTCGCCGTGGCGCCCCGAATATCCGTTTCAAGACCATCCAACCGCCACACGGACGGAGGACGGGCCGCTTTCAAAACAAGGATCTCGCCCTGGTGTTGCGCACAGTCGTTTTCAAAAGCCCGGCAGTCACGCAGATGGATGGCGAATCGGTTCGAAATGGTGTTCTCGCCTTGGCTCCGCGCACAGGTTTGAAAAGCATCCAACGGTTACACGGATAGGGGGCGGCTCCGTTTCAGAACGGTGGTCTCGTTTAAAGTTTCCTCCGAACGTATCGTATCACCACAAGTTGACTTGGAGTTGTGCAGGCGCTACACGCATGACGGACGAGTCCCTTTTCAAAATGGGTTTCCCGGTTGAGATTCCACTTGGTTGTATGACCAGAAACGTTGTTCATAATAACAAGAGAGTTCTACGGATGGAGGGTGGCTCTTTCCCAAAGAAGGGTTGCCTTTGGGCATGTCCATGAGTTCTATAACCCCGCGTGATCGCGTTGCTTGCAGCTCGCAGGGTAGAAAGCGCAGTTTCTCCTTTCAGGACCAAGCTCCCGTCGGAGTTGCCGGCTCGTGGGGCGCCCGTCTTTCAAAGGGTGCTTTCTGCGCAGCGAACGAGAACGGAGGGGCCAAGCAGCGAACAAGAACGAAGGGACCCATAAGGAGGGGATTTGGGACGGGAGGGTTCTTGCAGCATTTGTGTTGTATTTTGGGTTCGCTCTGGTCCTCCACCTCACAGCTCTCGCCTGGTGGAACTGGATCATTTCAGGAGCTGCCATCCCCCTCCCCCGCCCCTGGGGGGGGATCAAGCTGTGCGCTGTAGAGGCAAAAATATGAAGGGGGAAGCGACCGACAGACCCCCCCCCGGAGGGAAGGGTGTCTATGTCCCCCCCCCCTCCTCCTCCTCCTCCTTCTCCTCCTCCTCCTCCTCCTCCTTCACCTCCTCCTCCTCCTCCTCCTCCTCCTCCTCCTCCTCCTCCTCCTCCTCCTCCTCCTCACCTCCTCCTGCTCCTCCTCCCCCTCTTCAGGTCGTGCACATCGCCGGGCGCACCCACCCCCTGACTGCCCGCCGCTCAGAACGCCCCTCCCCGGCCCCCTCCATGCGGCGAGTTTCTCCTGCCGCCGGCCGCCATCTCGCAGGTCTGGCCGCACCCCGTGTCAGACACAGACACAATTGATCGTCGATCCCCATGAAAAGATGTGAACCTGGGAGATGGAGGGAAAGACGAACATCCAGAAATTTGTAACGATACGAAGGAATGCTGGATTTGTGTTTCTTTATTTGTGTCTCCCTGGGCCCCTTTATCCTTTCCTCCGACGTCCAGGGAGACAAAAGTATCGCGCCCTAGTGTTGTTTTACGCACTCCGCCTCCAGAGGCCGTTCTCGGGCCAGGGGGAGCGCCGAAGACGGCCCAGCACTTGAGAGGAGGGGGCCCACACAGAGGTCCAGGACCCCAGGACTCGAACATGTCGAGTCGTCCGAGGTCTGAGAGTGCAATGTTCTGCTCCTGCGGTGCCCATACTTTTCGTCGTCGCGGAACTGCCCAAGGACGTACCCCGGCCGTTCGGCTCGCTCGGCGATATGTCACGGTGCACGAGGTCTCGCCCCAGAAATCCGGCAGGGAGGGCCCTCGCGCGGAACGGAAAGCCTCGAAGGTTCAGGGTTAAGTCGGGCTTGTGAGAAAAGAGGACGAGGGGAAGGAGTAGCGAGGAGGAGGGGGGAGGAGAGAGGGAGAAAGGGAGGGAGGGAGGGAGGGAGGGAGAAAAGGAGGGAGGGAGGGAGGGGAAGGGAGGGAGTACGTCGCAGATCACGGCAGAGCGAAGCGCGCGAACCCCGACCCCGACACCGCCCGCCAGGCCGCTGCGCTAGGCGTGCCTTTGCTGGAGGAATACGACGGGGCGCTCAGGCCGGTACCAGAGGACCCCTCCGCCAGCGTGCAGCCCCAGCCCGCTAATATGAAGTGGTGGGACACGGTGGACTACGACGCCCTGGAGCGTTACGTCCCCACGATCCTCCGGGTGCCAGCGAACGTGGCCGCAGTTCTGGCCCAGCACCGCGGGCGAGTGGCCGAGCAGCTCCTGGCCGCGAAGACTGCTGGCGATGGTGTCACCCAGGCCAGGGCGGAGAAGGCTTCCACGTTATTCGACTGAGTGATGCTTTTCAAGCCTGGGAAGACTCGCGGGGGCCAAAAAGCGCAAGCCTGGCGGCCTGACCAGGCTCTTGACACGACGCTTGCGGATGGATGAACAGGGGGACTGGGGAGGGCTGCGGCGCCAGTCCACAGCTGCCACGACCCGCGGGCCGAGAAGAGGAGGCAGTGCCCCAGCAGCCAAGCAGGACGCACAGGCGGTGGAGTCGCTGCCGGATGAATACCCCATCAGCAAGGCGACGCAGCGAGCTCTCCGCCCTAGCGCGCTGGCCACCAGGCCCGGCGTCCAGGCTGGCCTCCAGAGCCTCTTTCCAGAGGGGCCAAAGCAGCACCTGTGACAAGTGCTGGCCACGCCAGACAACGACACCAGCGCAGCCCTGGCCGCGGCCGAAGCCAAGAGTCTGGCGAAGAGCCCGCGTCGTTCTGGACCGGGCCAAACGGCACCAGATTTGAGCATTGGCGCACGGCGCTGACCGACACCCCCGCTCTGGAGGCAGTGGCCAGGGTCACTGTCGCCTTCCTGCTCGGCGAGTTCAGCCTGGAGGCGACGCGCGCGAACATGGGGGCACGGCTGTCGGCCCCACGCCAACGCAACGGGAACTTGTGGCCGATTGCCTGCGGTTCCGTTGCCCGCCGCCTGACTGCGAGGGCCGCCTGTGACGTTCTCTAAGACGATATACAGGGCGCAGTCGTCCCCCACCAGCACGTCGTCGGGCGCGCGGCGGGCTGCGAGCTCGTGCACAAATGTTCACAGCACTCTCGGAGGCTTGACCGCTCGGGGTTGCCCTGATAGTCGACTGCTCCAACGCTTTCAACAGCACCTCACACAGCATGGTGCTGGACAGCATGCGCCGGCGGGCCCCGCAGCTGTTCCAGAGCACCCACAGCTGGCTCATGGGAGCCACGCGGCACTACTGGTGGGACGACCCTGCAAGCGACGCCCACCGCATTCGGGCTAGCGGCGGCGTGTACCAAGGGTGCCCGCCATCGCCGGCACGTCTCGCAATTGGCATTGCGGACGTGCTCGACGATGTCTACGCGCGCCTCCTGGCTCTCTCGACTTCCCGCAGGAGTTTCAGCTACCCCGATGACATCATGATCTTCGTCCCGCCAGAGCACGCGACACGGCCTTGCAGTCAACCGGACCAAGACCCAGGCGTGGTCCGCTGGAGGGCGCGGCCACTTGGCTGCCGCTGTCCAAGAGCGCTAGGTGGACCACCTCAAGCGGTTGGGAAACACTGCCCCCTGGCTCGAGCAACGGGGGAGGGCGGAGGAGGAGGAAGTAAGGGTGACAGTCCGCGCTTGTTTAGACGGGGCTACAGCCATGGCCAAGGCAACAGCTGCAAGAGCTGCGACAGGCGGGCCTCCGGGCCGAGAGCGCCCTCGCCGTCCTGCAGACCTTCGCCCACGGGTGCGTCACGCACCACCTCCGCGCCAACCTGCATGGGGGCTCGACGGAGCAGCTGGATCGCGTTTTCTTTGGCTGCCTCGAGCAGCTTGCCAGCAGAACCTTGGACCTTCAACAGCGCCTCCTAGCCACGCTGCGCCTTGCCGACGGCGGATGCGCTTTCCCTTCGGTCCTTGACGGCGCCCGCCGCCTACGCTGCCAGCCAGGCCCTCCTGCTCCACGACGTGATGGCCTGCCTCGGAGTCAGCCCGCTGGAGGAATACCGAGCCCGTTGCCCGCACACACAGCAAACGCTCGACCAGTCGGAAGCGGCTCTCTGGGCAGCAGACGCCTTGTAGGCGCCCTTCCAGTGGATCGGCTGCAATGCTTAACCCCAGCCCAAGCTGCAGGGTCACTGGGGCAAGGCGGCTTCCGCGGCTCGCAGGGAGAAGTTGCTCCAGGCGCTCGACGGACCGCCGCCTGCGCTTGCGGGAGAACGGAGGCACAGGCGCCGGCAGTTGGCTCCTCCCACGCCAGCTGGGCGACCCCCGCCAACCAAACGCACAGTTCGAGGGCAGTCTGAAGCGACGGCTCTGCGTCCTGGTCTGCACCGTGCTCCCGTTGCCAGCACCGCCGCCAGGACGGCAACTTGTGCAGCGAACATATCGACCCGCACGGCTGGCACGTGGTCAAGTGCGAGGTGGGTGAGTTCCGCAGTAGGCGCCACAACGGTTGCCGCGATTGGCACTCCGCGAAACACGCCGACCTCACAGGCTTCGCAGCGCCCACGGAGCAGGCCGCTCCGCTCCTGCCTGGGATCGTCGAAACCCACGCACGGGGACGCCACAGCAAGCGGTTCTCGACCTCTCCACCAACGACCCAGCCAATGGGCGCCACGTCTACGTCGATTGGGCCACCACCTGCATACACTCTGCCTACGCTCCACGCAGGGGTGCCTGGGCCGAAAGGGATGGTTTGGCAGCGCGCAGGCGGTGGACAAGAAGCGGGAGCGACACCCCCCGCGCAGGGGCGAGTTGATCCCCCTTGACTTCGAGACAGGGGGCCAACCCAGCGACACGGCTGCCAGCTTCGTCCGCAGCTGCGGAGCGGGTCTCCGAGCTGCTAGGCGGCATCTGGCGGCAGAATAGCAGAACCCAGAACCTTCCAAAGGGGTAATGCTGAGATGAGATACTTCTGACCGCGCTCGGGCGTTGAGTCGCCAGCCCACCACAGCCACCACGACCAATACCGCCGCCTGGACCACTGCGACAACCACCACCAGCCGCACCACCGCCCTGGCGACCACGATCGCCACGAGCGGCCACGAACCCCACCACGACAACCACGACTCCCACGACCACCGCCACGACCACCACCAGCACGACCACCAACACGATTTCGCAACGTTCGACCGCCACCAGCACGACTGCCGGCACGACCACAAACACCACAACGGCCACCATGACCGCCCAAACGCCCACTACAACTACCCCCGCCCCACGGCCCCTGCCCCCACTCCCCCCCTCTTCCCCAGCTGGGCCGCCCCTGCCGCTGCGTTAGCTTTTTGCCCCTTCCCTGCTGCTTCTGCCACCTCTGCTTCCGTTTAGTTTTCCTTTATCAGGTAGTACAGTTAGGCTGGGAATGCCACGGGGCCAGTCCTCGAAGAGGCTTTGTCCTGGCAGCGGCTTGCGGAAGACCGGGGACCATAAGCCCAACGCCCAGGGGCCCCCCTTGGCCCCTTGGCGACGGGGCTGGGGACCCACTCAGGTGCCCCCAGGCTTTTTTGGAGGAGCGGGAGGGAGGGGGGGAGGGAGGGAGGGAAGGAGGGAGGAGGGGGAGGAAGAAGAAGAAGAAGAAGAAGAGGAGGAGGAGGAGGAGGAGGAGGAGGAGGAGACGGAGGAAGAGACGGAGGAGGAGGCGGAGGAGGAGATGGAGACGGAGGAGGACAGCAGCGACGACGGTTGTACGTTTGGCAGCACCCCAAGGGGCGGGGTTCAGTTTGGGCCCACGCAGGACGCCATTACGAGGCAGGGTTCGCCCGAACCGACTGGCGGACCGACCAGCAAGGTGAGAGTCGCCAGCCCAGCCCGCCCCACCGCCAGTGACCGCCCGAGGCAGGGTCCGCCAGAATGTGCCCAACCGAGCTTCCGCCAACCGAGCTCGGGGTTCACGTCCAATTTGAGCGACCGCTCGAGGTAAGGACTGCCAGACCAAGGGACCGCTCGAGGTACGGTAATGACTGCCAGTCCAGCTTCAGGACCGCTTGACGGGCTGACCAAAACAGAGTGCCCAGGGGTCCGAGGGAGGTCCACCCGAGGCCCCAGTGCCACCGTTCGCATGCGTCTCCCCCACCCATTACGGCACACACCTCACACGGTTCGTGGCCCCATGGGAGGTCCACCCAGGGACCCAGTGCCACCGTTGTTGTGCGTCCCCCCCGCCCACTACGGCACACACCTCACACGGCTCGTGGCCCCATAGGGAGGTCCGCCTGAGGGCCCCAGCGCTACCGTTGTTGTGCGTCTCCCTCGCCCATTACGGCACACCTCTCACACGGCTCGTGGCCCCATAGGGAGGTCCGCCGGGGGGGCCCAGCGCCAGCGTTCTTATGCAACTCTTTTCCTACCCATTACGGCACCCCTCGCATGGCTCGTAGTTCCATAGGGAGCTACACCCAAGGCTCCAGCGCCACCGTTCTCATGCATTTCCCCACGCATTACGACACACTCCTCACACGCTTCGTGGCCTAATAGGGAGCTCCACCCAAAGCCCCAGTGCCACCGTTCTTGCGAGTCTCTCCCCCGCCCATTACGGCACAACCCTCATACGGTTCGTGGCCCCATCGGGCGGCCCACCCAAGGCCCCAGCGACGTTTTTCTTATGCTTTCCCCCGCTCATTCCGGCACACTCCTCACACGGTTCGTGGCCCAATAGGGAGCTCCACCCAAAGCCGCAGTGCCACCGTTCGCATGCGTGTCCCCCCACCCATTACGGCAGACTTTGCACATAAATATTTGTGGCCGTCTTGCAGTTTGGGAGCCACGTGAGGTCCGTTGGCGGGAAACAGATCCGTATCCACGGGCTCGCGGGCTGAGCCCCCGGTCCGCGACCCGATGGATACGGGGCGTCGTTCGCGGATGCCCAGCGCGGAGCGTATCCATGCGACCACGCCCCGGGATCCACACCGCGAGGGTGTGGATATGGATCTGTTCGCCGCTCGCGATGGGTGGCCTTTACCAGCATTTTGCTCAGCCTTCTTGGTCGACATGCTGTCGGCCCGCTGTGGCCCGCAGCGTCAGATCGCGCGGACGATGGCCCGCCCGCGCGCAGCGAGAGCAGCAAAACAACCCCAGCGTGGCCCGGGCCCAGCAGCAGGGAGGGCGACGGAACGGGCACGGGGCCGAGTGCTCCTGGAAGGCACAGGGGGAGGCTGCGACTCCCCTGAGATCCGACGTCGCGGAAAAAATACAACATCGCAAAAAGCAAGACCAGAGCCCCCGACCCAGTCATGCTGCGTCATTCTTCGAGCCAGATCGACCTGTGAGGGTCCAGGTGCCCGAACTTGGGCGGAAACGCCTGTGGTGAAAAAAATGGCACGACGGGACCTCGGTGAAGGAGGCGGCGGCTCTTCGACCTTCCATTGGAGGCCCATGCCAAGAAACATCCTGCTTGCCTCCAGGATGCCCTGGGTTTCTTGGGTTTCGATGGTTTGCTATGGAAGGCGTGACGCTCCCACACTAGAAATACACGGCCGTCCTGGGGCCTCGGGGTTGGGTTTCTCGTGGAAGGTTTCTTGTGATCGGGCCTCCACTGTACACTCCTCCTCCCAAGCCGCCGCCCCGAGAGCGCCCGCTTTTTGCAGGCTCTTGCAGGGCCAGGGTCGCATTGACCTGGGCTTGGGCGCAGGATCCTGCAGGATCTTGCAGGATCCTGCGCATTGACCCGGGTTTGGGTTCAGGATCTTGCAGGATTCTGCAAGGCCTCACTGGCCAGTGTCAGGATAGACCCTGGTCAGAAGATCCCCGAAGGTGGCGGCTCTTCGACCTTACGCGTCAGTCGGGCCTGACCCTCTACAGGAGGAAGATTCATTCAAAAACAACCAAAAACTGGTCCGGGGACGATTTTTCTGCCATTTTTATTTTTTGGGGGCCATCTTGGATATTTCATCCAAACTCCGCCTGTAGGAGGACACGCCCGACCTGACCTTGCACTCCTCCTCCCGAGCCGCCGCCCCGAGAGCGCCAGAGGTCCGCTACCTCGGGGACGCGCTGGAGGCCGCCGGGCTGCGGGGAGCGGCGCCCCCAGCGCACGCCGAGAGGCCGCCGATCGGCGCTTGGCACCCGGTCGTCTGGCCGGTGGGCCGGGGAGCCCATCGGAGGCAACGCTCCTAGACATGATCGCGTCGTTGTTTTGTATATTCTTATATGATAGTAGTAATAACAATAATAATAGTAGTAATAATCTGGATAATAAGTATACTCTTTATACGACTACTACTACTACTACTACTACTACTACTACTACTACTACTACTACTACTACTACTACTACTACTACTACTACTACACTACTACTACTACTACTACTACTACTACTACTACTACTACTACTACTATGAAATAATAGGCCATTTTCGGCCCCGGGGGGCCCTCGCGGGGCCTCGGGAGCGTCAAAAAACGACAGGATGAAAGACCGGTCCCAGGGAACGGGTCGGGACCTCCAGGGGCCCCGTCCTGAAAAAATCAGGACGTCTCATGTCTGGGTTTGGGGGGGATCGTTCATAGGCAGCACTGCAGAGTTTTCGTGAGTTCTCGGCGGTCTTCCAGCCTCGGGGTGCTCTGCAGTGGCTGCGCCTCGCCGAGAGCGTTCTGGGGTTGCCCGGATCGTCCGGAACGGCCGCCAGAGACCGGAGCGATGACCCGAGAACTAGACGACGAGGATCATTGGGGTGGATGGGCTCAGGGGGGGACGCATCGACCCCCAATCTCCCATGCATCGCCGATAGGGGCCCGATAGCCCACCCCGCCCAGGAGCGTGCGGATTCGCTAAACAGGAGGGACCCATCGCCGATCTATCGGCGATGTATTGCTGATTCCAGGTCGATGTTCCCCCATTCAGCCAGTCCCCCCTGATGTTGTCCTTCATCCCAGACCTTCAGAGACTCGAAAATATCGAGTCCCAGATTTCTCCGTTTTCTCAGCCTCTGGACGCCGTTCTCGAGCCCGGGACCGTCGAAAGGCAACTCGGGATTGAAAACCAGTCCGGGTCGAGAGTCGAGAGTTCAAGGGGCCCGAGACTCTAAAATATCGAGTCGTCGGGTCTGGGATCGCGGTGGCCAAACGTCTTCGAGAATCGAGCGTTGCCGTTCGAGCTCCTTGGGCCATCAGGGGGAGTCTTCGTGGCCAGGGGTCGGCTTCGAGAGCGAAAACCCAGACCGCCAGCGTCACGAAGAAAGCGAGGCGAGGCGGACGGACGCCACTTCCTCAGCTCGGGCCGCATAGGCTCCCGATTCGGAGCCTTGGAGCCGCCAAGAAACGACCTGGCATGAAAAAGCGATCATGCAGGGGAAGGGGTCGAGAGGCCCACGGGCCTGGCATCGCGAGGAGCTCTGCCTGCGGCGGCCCCAAGCAAAGCTTCCGCGCGATCGAGAGCGAAGGCAGCTCGCAGAGGGGGTCGCGCGCCGAGGGGGCGGCCACCTCCCGCTGCGCGGCAGCCTTCTCAGAGAGGCCCCCAGCCTTGCCTCGGAAGGCCACCTCCTCACGCCACCACCTTCTGCGCTCCGCCGAGCGATGCGCATCGCCGCCAGGGAGGAGGAGGAGGAGGAGGAGGAGGAGGAGGAGGAGGAGGAGGAGGAGGGGGAGGCGGAGGAGGAGGAGGAGGAGGAGGAGGAGGAGGGGGATGTCTCCTACATCCTCGTCTCGTCCCCTGCGATGATCAGCGGGGGCGGTACACGCCCCCCTCCTAAGGTGGACACCCTCACCTCGGTGAAACCGAGCCCGGCCCGCGCAGAATGGGCGTGACATTTGCATCATGGCGTCACGCTTGTCTCGGAATGATGCTGCGGCCTGTGTGTGGGCCGCACGTCTGATTGACAATGTTGTTGTCGCTTACGCACAGGCGACATCCTTCATTGAGCATGCCGTTCTCGCCTGTGCGTGGGCCACATATGTGATTGAAAATGTTGTTGTCGCCTATGCGCCAGCGAGATGCTTCATTGAGCATATCGTTCTCGCGTTGGCGCCAGCCACATCTCTAATTAAAAATGTTGTTATGGCCTTGGCGCCGGCGACATCCTTCATTGAGCATGTCGCTCTCGCCGTGGCGCCAGCCATAATTCTGATTGGAAATCATGTTGTTGCCTTGGCACGGGCGACATCCTTCATTGAGCATGCCGCTCTCGCCTTGGCGCCAACCACATTTCTAATTGATATCGTTGCTGTTGCCTAGGCGCAGGCGACATTCTTCGTTGAGCATGTCGTTCTCGCCTGTGCGTGGGCCACATCTGTAGTTGGCAATGTTTCTGTCGCCTGGGCGCTGGCGAAATCCTTGATTGAGCGTGTCGTTCTCGCCTTGGCGTTGTCCACATCCCCAGGATGAAGAATCATGCTGTCGCCTAGGCGCTGGCCCTGGCTTGCGGAAGGGCGGTAGACACCGACCCGGTCATTCTTCGTCGAAGGTGGCCGTGCCGGGGCTAGCAGATTACCGCATCGCGCGGCAGGAGGCGCGAGGCGCAAGGCGCAGAGTTGGATCGCATGCGTCACTGGGGCCGGGCCGGGAATGAGCCTGGATCGGGCGGCCGTCTGGAGGTCTTCGGAGGTCGCGGGATGCTGCAGGAGCCCCAAGGCCAGAAGAAGACCACGACCGCCCAAACGCCTCCAACAAAAATGCTTCGATCCTCGATCGGTCCTCGATGCTCGATCGATCTTGCAGGGCGCTCTTGTGAGGAGACAAGACACCCCAAAGCTGCGTTTGCACAAAATGTGTAAGTCGGGCGTGTCCCTCTACAGGAGGGATATTCAGAAACTGTCCAAAAATAGTCATGGGACGATTTGCCGATTATTTATGGGCATTTGTTCTGCTACTTCCCATTTTTCGTCCAGACTCCGCCTCTAGGAGGACATGCCCGACCTAACAATATGTTGCTCTGCCTGGCTCCAGAACGTGTTGCGGCCCATCACGGCCACAGGCTGGGCCCCTCATGTCGAAGACACGGAAAGCGTGGCTCGTTATTAGAGAATCGCAACGTTGCGTTGTGCCAGGGGGGGTCGAAGCGCAGCACGGAGGCCGCGAGGTAATGAGCGATGGCGAGGCCACCAGGCTTAAGTCGGGCGTGCCCCTCTACAGGGGGAATATTCCAAAATAGTAAAAAGATCGTCTGGTGGCGATTTTTCTAGTATTTCTGACTATGTTTGAGTATTTTTGGGAATATTCTAAGATTTTCTTCCACAATCCGCCTGTAGGGGGACATGCCCGACCTAACACTACGCTGTGCCAGAGGCGGTCGAAGCGCACCACGGCGGCCGCGAGGTAGCTCGCGATAGCGAGGCCACCAGGCCCGAAGGCCCCGACGCCCCGCGCCCTCCCCCGCAGGGGCCGTGCCGGCAGCAGAAGTTGACCTGGCGGGGTCTGGCCTGCCGGCCGCGACGCCACTCAAGCATGTCCAGTGATCGTTTTTTGATTCGTCGTTTTGCCGATAGGCGCGGACCGTCGCACCTCCCCCCCCTTCCCCCCCCCCCATGGAGTAGATCTTGGCTGTGTTGGGCGCCTGTTTCAGGCAGGCGGAATCCCTCCTCCACAGGACGCACGGTTGCAAACAGACGCATCAAGCAGTGGTCCAGAGCCAGACCCCCCCCCTTTCTGCCCAATGTCGAAACGCCGAATAAGAAAAACGCTCCCTTGGCGGAAGGTGCCGATCCAGAGAAGCCCCGCTTCGTGCCCACCGCAGAGAACCGCCACAGCGGTCGGACCTCTCCCTCCCACGGTTGCCCGCAGTTCTGCCCGCCGAAGCCCATGCGCAGGTGCACAGGGCCTGCAGGATGGACACGAGATACGCAACTGCGGGCAGAGGCTCCCTGCACCAGGAGAGTTCGAGTTCAAGGGTCGTCTCGTCCCCCCGCTGCCGCTGCCAGATACGTGAGATGAGGAGTTTGCAAGGGGAGCGCACTACCCAGCGGCCACCAGCACTGCCTCAGGCAAGAGGACTTCACGGCCAGGCTCCCATCCTACGGAATCAATGGAGCAGTGCTCGAAGGTCTGGGGAGCCAGTCGACACGAGGGCGAGACACACGTGTTGAGCTCCATGTGCAATTTGTATTGTTTCTCGGGCTACCGTGGGAGGTTCCCCTGTGGCAGATGGCTTCAGATCATGTCGAAAGACGTTGAATCGATCGAGAATCGATTCGAGAATCGATAACTTATGATCGAGAATGTAGAGCATGGCTCTACACTCGAGAACCGACGATCGATCCTCGATCGATCACTGGCGAAGCGGCGGCGCGCAGGAGGAGGCGGCGCGAAGGGGGCGGCCTTCCGAGAGGGCAGCGGCCTCGTGGAATCTTGCCTGCCTTCTGGAAGCCTTCTGGGAAGCTTTCGGCTCCCCACCAGTGCTCGAGGAAGACACCGTTGCACAAACAGAAGCTTGCGGTGGTCCGCGCGGACTTCTGGGATAGGCGCTGGGCCCCCGCTCTTTGGCGCGCGGAGCGCGCGCCGGTAGGGGCGCCGGAGGCGACGCGAGGGGGGGAAGGGGGGGCCCGGCGCCGATCCGAGGAATCCGCGCGGACCTCCGCATATTTTTTAATGTTTGTGCTTTTGGGTTCGTTCTCCTGCAGGGACCCCCTGCCCTGTCAGACTGCCGCCTTTTCGCGCCACCCCCCTCGTCTGCGCGGCGCGAGGCGCAGGCCGCGAAGCCGAGCCGCCCCGGGTGTCCAGGGCCGACCGGGGCCGGACCGCGGAGCGGCGCTCGGGCCGGGGGGGGGGGCCCACGAAGGCCGAGCGCACGTCCAGAGACATCCGAAAGTTCGCGTCGATCCCAGATGCTGTGGCGCGTGCGTGCAGTTGCCTGCGGGCCTGTCCTCAAGGCACACACACACACGCGCAAGATCGTCATGCTGCTCTGTGCGTGCTCCTCCTCCGCACGCTCCGTGCGTGCTCCTCCTGCGCGGCTCCCTCTCCCCTCGATCGCGCTTCTCTTGCTCCCTGCTGTGCCCACCGAGGCCCCGTGGGGCCCCTCGGCTGACTCCGCCGCTGCGCTTTGAAAGCGTGCATTCGCCTGGCTGCCCGAGTCCAGGGACTC